TGTATTTTTTTTCTTGTTAAATGGTTCATCGAAAAACAAAACAAGATTTTATATATAGAAAAAAAGTGATTTTTCTATTTCAATCTCTTAAGCAAACACTGTTATGGCCATCATGATCGCCATCACCGACCATCATCTTATTGCTAACATTATCACAACCATTATTATGATTATTAATTTGACGAACATTAACAATTGCTGTCCCTATTGCCATGGCTATGACTACATGCCATTGATGTTGTTGTAATAACCAGAATCAGCGTGGAGTTAAGACAGGGAAGAGCCAATGCTCCATGGTAAATTCATGATCATCAGCTGCATAATTACTTTTAAATATTGTATAGTATTTAGATCATCGACTTTAATTATAGCTTCGGGAAGGCAACTTTTGGAACTTTTAAACATAGATTTGTGGCATATTGGAAAGACACGATGGTTGTTTAGAAAAGCTCAACCCATCCTTAACCCATTAATGGTGCTGTCCTCTATTTGGGCGGTTTGTTGTTATATTTAAAAAATATTTATAATTTTTTTATTTTAAAATAATATTTTCTAAAATCATTTTAATATATTTTTTATATAAAATACTTTAGAAAATAACTTCAATTATTATCATCCAACTCCAATAACTTGCGTGGGTGTGTGTGTACACACACACACACACACACACATATATACAACTCCCTCCCTCCAAAAAAAGGTGTGCAAGAAAAGGCTTTTTAACCATATTTTCTCTAAAATGAATTTGGGGGCCGGATTTACCCCTAGCTTTCGGTCACTTTCTTTTCTGATGTTTGGTGAAGCGCGTTTGTATTCGCGGTAAAACATGGTTTTGATATCAACGAGAACAGTCTAAAGATAAAATAAAAATAAAATAAAAAATAAAACAAAAATAAAATAAAATTCAACAAAACGGTGCACCGCTGCCACAGGAAACCGAAAACATGGAGAAGGGTCCAGCTCCAGCCTAGTTTTGTGTTTTTCTCTTCTTTTTCACTATTGCAGTTTTGACCGCAATAAGAGCAATTTGTGGCATATGGGTTATTGCGTCGGTGTTTGGTCAGGCTTTTGTTATCATCAGGGTCAAAGTCAAATCTGGCTAGTGTGGTGACAGCTCTTACTGAACCTCTGATTACTTGATAAGCTCTCCTGTCAGGCCCTCCATTGTGATGCTCGTACAGTGGTTTACCATCACCGTCAAGATTCAGACACTTGTCTAGATCAGGGGTAATTTTCATTTCTACCACGTTTGGCCACAAGTTTTCTAACAAGAAGAAAAGATATTTGAAAAATAAAATAATTTTAACGAAAACACTATTAAAAATAGTAATTTTAATAAAAATATAATTAGAAATAGTGATTTTATGAAAGATGCAATTGAGAATAGTGATTTTGAAAAAATAATAATAAACTGCAAACCATCCCTAACTCTAACTCTGACATTAAATATAAACTCTAAACAATATTCTATTCTCAAATTATAACTCTAGGTCTAAAAAGGATACTCTAAATCCTAAAATTAATCATTAATTTTAAAAACAAATATTAATTAAAATCTTTTGATTTTTTTAGCCTCTTATTATCTTATATTTTATATTTTATATGGAATTTTTATTGAATTTCATCGTTAAATATTAAGCTAATAATAAATCTTAAATAAATAAAAATAAAAATAAAAAATCAAGATATTTTATTATATTTAATTAGAATTTCTTTATAGAGTTATTGAATAGTATTTATTTTTAGAATTTATATTAGAGATTTTAAAATATAGTTAGAGATTAATGTATTATTTAGAATCTGTATTTAGGATTTTAGAGTTAGTTTGTAATTATTTTTTTTTATCAAAGTTGTATTTCTAATCAAGGTTTTTGTTAAACTCACTATTATCAATCATGTTTTTATTAAAATTATGTTATTTTATAAATATATGTTTTCAACTTATGCTGTCTTGCCAAAAAAAAAAAAAAGCTTTTTTGTGGAAGTGTGCCACTTTTGAAAAACAAATCCAAGGTAGGGTACGGTTATTGCATGTTTTTCTTTTACATTAACTTATCCTTCAATCTTGATCCTTTGATGATTGCAGTCACTCAGGAAAGTTTGTGGCTTATGAGAATTATTTAAGTAGAAGTCTCTTATTTTAGACATTTTCCTTAATTTAAGGTTTATCTTTAATTATTTTAATTGTTTTAATCTTGCTTTTCCAGTCCATCTAGTTTTTTCATCAAATTCTACTCTTTCATGGATCATATGTTGCAATCAAAGTTATAAGCAATTTCTAATCATGTTTTTAGATTTTGACTAAAAACCGAATGTCAAATGAAAAATTAAGATGATATAATTAAAGTGGATTAATATAGAAATATGCAATATTTCAAAAACCAATTAGTATGGAAATATAGCTTCTAAGTTGGACAAATCAATTAATCAACTGGTTGTAATAATTTTTTTATTCTTTATTCTTTCTAGTTAAGATAGTTAATATCTTATATTTAGTTATTGATTAGCTAAAGTATTAGTACTTGCAAGAAATTCCTTTAATGTATTTAAGGATTCTTTGATATTTAAATAAATATATTTTTTAAAAAATATAATAATATTTTTAAAAGAGATATCCTAAAAATATAAATATGGTATAAAATTAAAGATTGTGAACTTTTTTTATAAAACTTTTATATATATTTATAACTCATAAATTTTATCCATATATATATATGTGTATATAATTGAATATTCTTGAGAGGTGCTTTTATAATTTAATCTGGTTTTACTAGTTGATTTTTAGATTTGAAATAAAATTACATGATAAGTTTCTTGAATTAAACATGCTATAAATTACTTGGGCTAAGCAGACCTGCTCTAAGACAAGGCTTTCAACTTTGCTCCCCATTGTCTGGGCCGAAAGGAAGATGTGTAGTTTTTTTTTTTTCGTGGTTTGGCTTATGACCCCGATATTAAAAGCATAGTAGAATTTACTAGAAGAATCTTATACTAGTATTCATTCTCATAAAAAGATTTTTAAAAAAGAAAATTACATTAAAGCATTTTGTATAGTTTAGTTATTTCTTCATGCACTTCTACTTTCACCCAAAAAAATTAATAAAAAAATTAAAATTATTTACAAAATTATCATTTTACTTCAATTAATGATTAAAAAACCTCCTAGCTATGTTAAAATAACAAAATTGTCACTCTTCCTCACTACGTCGAGCATAAAACTCTATCCGTCAGCCTGCCGGAATCTGGCAAATTAAACCCAAAAAGTTTGGATCATCAGCGTCCATTTACAGACCCATAGTTGCTATGTACAGCGAAAAAATAGTCGCAGTTGGCTATATAGAATGCTCTCCTTGTTACCTATGATGATTCTCTGTAGTTTCTAAAATCATGAAAAATAATGCAGTTGCGGAAGAGGGTCAAAACTGGAGTCTAGGGCAAAGATAAGTCATCATGAAAACTACAGTGGCCTATTGCCATGGAAAGAAAAGTAGTGTTTATCACCAGTACTCAGACAGTATTCGCAAAACAAATGAAAAAGAAGGCGGGGGGGCCTGGGAGTGGGGGGGGACAAATATGGAGTAATGGATTTGCCACTTGAGAAGAACAAGAATTAAAAAACTGTTATTTTATATTGTTTTTTTAGAGCTCAACATGATTTTGTTCTCCATCAAGATCTTCTTCTACACATTCTTCCACTTTTAATTCTGATGCTTCCTTGTCTTTTTGATTTCTGGTGAATTTTTTCCTGCTGGGTCTTGGTAATACCGTTCTCTACAGGTCCTCTTGTTAGATTTATTTGTCAACTAAAAAAAACATTAAAAATCAGAGATTCTATGTAGCAGGACCAAAATCAAGATAAATAACTGAAGCTTAAAAAAAAAAGATAATCATTAAAGCTTATAAAAAAAGCTTGAGATATGTGCATTGTTGCTGCAGTTTTTTATATACTTTCGTTAATAATTTTTTTTCAAAATTCTAACATATTGATATATTAAAAAAATTAAATCAACACCCGAGTTTACTAATTGTACACCGAAATATATTGTAAAAAATGAATACGCGATTTAGCTAATTGAATATATTTTATAACGACCAATTTGTATTATAAAAGAATTATTTTGATATCAAAAGCTCTGTATAACGATAATACTTGAGATATATATATATTCTCAACACCCCGTCGAAAACCTCAACCATGATATTTTAATAAATCATTGCTACCAGTTAAGCATGAAAAAAAAAAACCGAATAAATTAAAAAGAAGAAGCTGATCAGGTCACCCTTTCTTCAATTGAATTCCCTAACGGTTTCCTGTACCAGGAAAGAAAGGTTCGTTATATGGATAACAAAGGAACCGCCACATTGACGAAACCTTACAACTTCCATTTTGCACCCTTTTCTTTTTAAGCTCTCTTTCTCATCAGCATCATCTTCTTCTTCTTCTTCTTCTTTGTATCTGCACCAAAACAGAAGACCAAAAGCTCGAAAGAATGTTCAGCTGTTGCTGTTGCTGTTGTTGTTGGGTTAGGTGGCAAGTAGCTGTTGCGGATATGAATCTTTCTTTACAAGGTAATCAGTTTGGAAAGTGTTGCTGAGTTTTCAACTCTTATATCTCACTCATCTATGGATATATATAAAATATATTATAAATCACTATCACCTTCTCCTTGGCTTCACTCTTAATTTATTTTTGGATGTTCTTGCTTCATCGATCACAAATTTCCTAATTCACGGTTTCCATGTGTGACCGAACTTGAACTTTTTTTTTTCATTTGATCGAATGCGTTGGTGGGTCGTTGTTTGAAGAAAGAGACGCAGGCGTTTGAAAGTAATCTATATTTTTGCAGTTTCTTGAAATTATCAACGTTGATATTGACGTTAAAATAGGTTGCTCGAGTTTCTTGTGATGATGGTTAATGTTTGAGAAGTGATTTTCTTTTAATTATTAGGCAAATTAGATTTCTTAGTCGTGCTGTATTAGAGAGATTGTGGTGGACTACTTAATTAAGCTTTATTGAGATTTGAGAGAGGTAATGCCATACTGGGGAAGCAAGGATCCCCTAGAAGTCCTCGTCCTGATGTTGTGAAAATGAAAGATTATCAGACCAGAAGTTCAGAATGTTTGCCTGGTATTGATCCTATCCTTGGGAGGAGATTGTCGGGAGGGGATAATAATTGGAAAACTAAAGTTGCATTGCTTCATGAATTGAAAAACGAGCATGGAAATCTTGGTTCTTGTAAGGCGGTTTATGTTGGGAAAAGGCACTTGTGGTTCCGTAAGCATGTTAAGTCAATTGCTCTTATGTTTGCATTGACGGGGTCTCTTTTCTTGCTTGACTCTTTCATGGTGTCACTTTTTGATTCGATAAGTCTGCAAAATAGTTCACCCCCAATGACATCAAGCGGTGTTAAGGTACGATGCTGCTTGTTTATGGCACTGATATAACTTACACATTGCATTTTCGATAACTTTCGGATTTGCATCGTGACAGTGTTGGAAACTGTTCTTAGGAGTTGTGTTCATCATCTACAGCAGTAGATGACACCAACAACAACAACAACTGCGTTTTCGAATCAACTATTCACTTCTCTTTCTGTGGTCTATACAATTTACTAATCATTCACATTCTACAGCATACAATTATTCATTGCATTGACATTCCAATTCTGCTATTCAGCTAACGAAGTTGAGACTAGTGGATAATGTTTTAGTTCTAAGTTTGCAAATGAACTTCAGTAACATGCGACTTGTTTTCACATTTTGTCATGCAATTTTTATTTGTTCTTTTTTTTTTTTATGATTATATGTATCATATAATGGACCATGAACCCTTTTTTTTTCTTTTTCCCTTTCCGCACATTGCTTAGAAGAAAACATTTGCTAGCCTATCATTAAATCTGAAAGACTTATGAATTTTTAGTTTTTCTTTTTTGTAGATCAAGTTCTCTATGTATCATATAGGATCCAGCCGAATAATTTCTCTCTCTCTTTTTTTAATAGCAAAAAATATGCAAATTTCAATAAGTTAATAGGTTGGGTGTTCGAGACAGTTACTTAGTTAATTGGTAATTATTGTACCTAAAGGGGGATAGAACTGCATATGCTACTGAAGAGGAACGTCCAGTCCAGATGTATGGTCGGCTCCAAAAAGTGGCTTACAGTGCTCTTACAGAGGTTTGCTTCAAAAATTTTACATTTAACACATTCATGTTAGATGGGTTTTTGGTATCTAATATCATGAATCTGAAACCCCTTCTATGCTTTAGAAAGAGTTTAAGCAAGATACGTCGAATTTTTGGGAGGAACCACGGAAGGCATCTTTATGGAAACATTGTGGAGATAGAAAAGAGCAGAAAAATAAGGTAATTTAACATCTTCTGTTTTTTGTGTGTAAAAGTAATGTCTAGTGTATAATGAACGGTGATGAAAGTATAAAATCTGGGAAATTAAATGACCAGAAATATCGTGATTAAGAAAACTATTTTGTTGAGACAGGGCAACTGACAAAAACAATTGGTACATAATGGTCAGTGCATATGGAGGTCTCAATCAACAAAGAGTAGCTGTAAGTGTCTAAACCTTTCAGCTACTGCTATGGAATTAATTGGCAATTTACCACAAACAACTGAAACAATTTGTATATCTATCAGGGAGAAAGATTTCTAGTAGAAAAATAGGATAGAACAATAAATACCATGTTTTCTTACATCTTCGTAGGTATGGTCTTAGCATTAATGAGAGCACGGAGAAGTAAAGTGAATGTTAAAAAGTTAGCAGATGTCTTGTATATGAGCCAAAGATGAAGATACAGTCTCTTGTATATTTCATGTACTTAGTTGTTGGTAAAGAATAATATAAATTATATTCTGGAATCTTACCTAATAGCTTAAGTTTTTTGGTTAAAATGGTTCTTTGAAATAGTATTAAAGCTTTGATAACCAAGCAGTTACGAGTTCGAATCTCATTATCCCTATTTATTTGATAAAAATTAAGCACAAGATAGTTTCAAGCCCAAAGAAGAGAATAATATAAATCATATCCTAAAACTTCATGTAAAAGCTTAAGTTATTAGATTGAAATGGCTCTTTGACCGTTGCGACCTTTTCTTTCAGCAATTTCTAAAGAAATCATAACTCATTTAATAAGCAATCTCATTTTCAGATGGCTAACTCGCATTAGTTTCATATCCACATGAAGTTAGGTTAATATATCCAATGGATAGCTCACACTCGATCTGCATCCACATGAAGTTTGGTTCAATGAATATGATTTATGAGGATAAATAAAACGAATCTACTCAAGTATGAAAAATAAATTTGGAAGTTCCAGGAAATAGATAATACAACAAATAGCTTGGCTTTTTTATGTCTCCATTTTTTAAACAAATAAAGGTCTTTTGAATTGCAACAGCGTGGATAGGTCTTGGATTTCAGTACTCGAAAATGGAGTTATAAGTTCCTCCATAGAATTTAAATTTTTTCTTTTAGCCTTACACATATTAGAAGAGTGGACTTGTTTTTTTTCCTCTCTCTCTACAAAGGGGATGTTAGAAATTGAGAAAAGAGGACGGTAATACCAGTTAAACTCTAGCTCATTGGTAGAAGAATGGAGTTTATAGATAGTTAAAGCTTGGCATGTGTTCATGGTAGAACCGGAAAAATGACTTTGAAATTATATAAAACCTATCTTTGTGTGTGACTATAGTTTGATAAAGTACAATGTGGGACTTGCCTTTGAATTCTCTTGTGGTTAAAAGGGAACTGATGAATTATAACAATTGTTGGAGTCATCATTAAAGAGGAAATATGTCAACAAATAATCCGTAATGATCAATTATTAATATGTTGCTTTAAATCTGAGGCATTCCTTGCCATAGCTTTTGTTTTTTCCCTTCTAAATCAAATTTTGTTCTTTTCTTCTAAATCAAATTTTGAAGTCTAGATAATCCATATAGGCTTTTTACCAAATTGATTACAAGATGTAATAGCATTGAGGTTTTCCTAAAGGAATTTTTTATATTTGAAATTTGATAATCTCATTTTAATATAGTTATTATCTTACTAATGAATGCCTCATGCATCTTTCTATGTCTTCCCATGTTATCAGAATTGCCATTGTACATTTTAGTGACACAATTGTTGCTCGTGGCAGATATGCAATGCCATTGCCTTAGCATCTTCACTTAACGCAACCTTAGTCCTTGACAATTTAAAGTCTTTTGAATAAACTTATGTGTCTTCTCATTGAGAATTGTCCATCGTATAGGTAAAATTTACAAGCTAAAAAAAAATAATACAATAGAAAATAATATAGGCTGATACAAGAAATAATATAGGCTTATTTTTAGCCCTTAGAAATAGCTAACCAACAACTAGTATATCCAAATAAAGGAAAGAATAAATATGCAAAGAATATGCTAGTATTAAATGTGTAGGTATAGGTATTTCTTTTGACATCCCCCCTCAAATTAATGTTGGTAAATGGACAAGCATCAATTTGCTAATAAGAAAATGATGGCGCTGACGGGGCATGAATTTGATGACGGGGCATGAATTTGATAAAGATATCTATAATCTGCAGAGTAGTGGAGATATATGGAAAGGTGATAATCTGATTGAGTGACAGTTAACCTCAATGTACTTGGTGTGTTCATGTGCAAGAAGATGAATATAACAGACATAACCAAAGGTAAAAAGGTTGGAATAAGTTGGAGAATGACCAAATAACCTGATGAAAAGAGTGTCGCAGTTCAATGTGGGGGAAGACAATTTGTTGATGAGGTGGATAGCAGTGAAGAGAGCTTCACATAAAAAACGAGAAGTGTAAATGACTCTAATAGAAGAGTACAAACAACATCAAGAAGATGATGATTCTTTCTTTCAACCACCCTATTTTGTTAAGATGTTGAAGTGCAAGACCGTTGAGAAATGATGTCATGATACTGTAAGAAGTCCTGAAACAAATGAGACATATACTTACCCCTATTGTCAGAACGAAGGATTTTGATTTGGGCTGAAAATTAGGTCTAGATATGTATACGAGAAATCTTAAAAACAGAAAATATTGTCTTTAAAATGAAGGAAATAAATCCATATGAAATGGCTATGTATCAAATCGAAAAGTTGGATTATGTGTGGTGTGTGAATAGAAAATAGCAGAGTTTTACTTTTGCCAAGCTTGCAAGAATTGAAATCAAACTAAACAGTACTAAGAGATGGTGAATCTTTATTTCTAAAGAAACCAAATTTCAATAAATCATGAAGAACATTAGAGTTTGGATGTCTGCGATATTTATGCCATGCTCGGTAATCAACATAAGCAGAATTACAAGTGACAAAGGGCAAAGAAAAAGGTGACAAAAGAAATTGAAGAGGACAAAGATGTCCCACTTTAGGCCCCCTCGCGATCATCCTCCTTAACTGTTGACCCTACATAACATAACCAATTTTGAAAAATTCTAGTTTATAATCATTTTCAACCAATTGGCCGATAGATACAAGATTGGTAGTAAGACCATGTGATATAAAAACATCAGTGAAAGAGGGAAAAAATCACTAGTGGCCGTGATAAGTAAATGACTGCCATCAGTAGTATGAATTTTGAGATTTCCAAAATTTTCATTAACATTAGTAAGAGAAGCATCATTGTTTGTCACATGATTTGAAGTCGTTGAATCAAAATACCAAGAAGATGATGTAGAAAGATTTTTTCCTGAGAGTCCCAAAGCTGAAAATGCAGAAATGATCATTTGTTGAATCATGGTAGGAGTCACGGATTGGATAGGAGGAGGAGCACGTTGTGCTAGAGGTGAAGAGCCAACTGAGACAATATATGTTGTCTCTGTTTTCTTAGAAGGTCAAGTAAGGCATTCTTTGATGATATGACCATCTTTTTTGCAGTAGTTGCAGAATTCTCGAGGATAATTTATAGCATAATGGCCAAATCTCTTACAATAAAAACATTGAATAGTGCTCATATCCCTGCCTTTTGGTTTACTTTACGCTGCATAGGCCATAAAAATAAATGTAGATTGTCATTATTCCATGGTAGTTTGAGTGAGAAGGTATTGTTCTTCGTGAAGGAAGTCACTGAGGCATGCATCCAAGGAGGGAACAAATTCTTGGTTCATTAGGGTGGATCTAGTGCCTTCAAATTTAGATCTCAGTTTCATTATAAAATAATCCCGTTGAGTAGTTTCATGAACAGATTGAATAGAGCTAAGACTTTTAGATGATAAGCCAGCATAAACTATATCAGTATATTTAGTCCAAAGATTAGTGAATCTAGAGTAAAAATTAGAGATGGAAAGATTATCTTATTAAAGAGTGCTTAATTCATGTTCAAGCTGAAACCGACGAGCAGTGTTTTGTTGGCTATAGATTTTCTTCAGGTAAGTCCACATTTAAGCTGCAATATGAGAGGATCGAAGATTCAAGATGATGTTAGGTTAGACAAATTCTAAGATCCAAGCCATAACTTGAGCGTCCTTGACTTTCCACTTGACGTATTGGTTTATATCTTTGATTTTGTTAGGAGCTGGGTTACTTTCATCAACATGTCCCCACAGCTCCTTACATTTGAAAAAAATCCTGAAATGAAAAGCTCAAGCAGAGTAGTTCTTGCCATAGAAATGAATTATAGAAACATCAAACTTATCTGAAGACATAAGGTCAATAGAACTTTGATCAAGAATAACCAAGACTAAAAAACTTGATAGCAAAAAATAATTTAGAGTTATAGCTCTAATACCATGACAGTTTAAAGTCTTTTGAATAAAATTATGTGTCTTCTCATTGAGAATTGCCTATTATATAAGTAGAATTTACAAGCTAAAGAAAGAAATAATACAACAGAAAATAATACAGGTTGATATAGAAAATAATATAGGTTGTTCTTAAACCCTTAGAAACAGTTAACCTACCACTAGTATATCCCAATAAAGGAAAGAATAAATAGTCAAAGAATTTGCTGGAATTAAATATGTAGTTATAGGTATTTCCTTTGATAGTTCTTCCCAAATTTATTTACAGCAATGTATGGAAGGATCCAAGGTATGATATTATATATACAAATTGCTTCCTCTAATCTATATTCTTGTCTACTTTCCATATCTGAATTTGGTCATTGCTCATATAACCTGGTTACAAAATAATTTTTAGAGTGTGTTTGGTATTGTGGTAGTTTTTGTGATTGTGGTTTGAAAAAAATTATTTTATAAAAAATGCTTTTAGTTGAAGTTGATTTGGTATTTATGTATGTTTGGTTAAAAATGTAGTTAAAATTGAGGTTAAATAAAAAATAGAACTGCGATCAAATTCTGCAAATACTATGTTATCAAGCGATCTCTGTCTAATTTATGTAGTGTCATTAAATAATGTTAAACACTAGTTTTTCAAATAAAATACAATAAAAAATAATATTTATTTTTTATTTTATTGGGTCGGACCTGATTCAATATATGTTGAGCTTTGAACTAGATCCGATCCAGCTGGAACTGGTCCGACTGGAACAGTAAAGCCGACTACATTGTTCATTGCATAACATGTTATACTGTCTATGCTAATTACACTATTTATTACTTACTTTTATTTCCCTTGTATTTCATATACAAAATGGGATCCATGAATAATAATAAAAAAAAAATTACTATACAAGTTACATCTATATTTTAAATAAAATATAAACACAACCTTTTATCGCTGCGTTAGTCTATTGGTTGTTTCCTGTTTTCTTCATGAACCGCTGGCTTATGTTATTTTTGAATGGGGGGAGTGAAGCTGTTGTTCAATGGTATTTAAATAAATCTATAGCACTATCTTTTTCATGAGATGATCATGGGAATTCAGTATTACTCCGCAGAAAACTCACCTCTTTCATTTTATGGAAATGCAGCCAATTCGGTGACATCTATCAAGAGGAGTATTTTATGAATATCATGAAGGATGAAGTGAATATCGTAAAGGAGCTTCCTTCTCATTTGAAATCATTAGTTATTGAAGCAATCGGTAGCCTAGTGTGTGGTCTTCTTGGTTTCTACGTGCTTAATATAAGGGCAGTGCTATTTCACAGCATTACATTATCTCCTTTCATCTTGCTTTTGTTAGATTACTGATGCGGACATTGTGAAGGAGGCAACGCCCATCGATTACCTTACAAAAACAAAACTCTTCCTCTTCTGCCGCAAAATGGAGTTGTTCACTTTCTTGGATTTGGTAAGTGGCTTGGATTTGATCCGTTGCCTTCGAAACTTCAGGTAAAGGACATTGCTTGGAGGTTCAAATATTACATATACAGTTACTGGACAGATATTAAACGCGGAGAAGCTCAACGTTAACAAGAATCTCTTCGCAATGTCTTCGATGCTATTGTAAGTGTTCCAAGATACCTTTCCCCTTCTAGGCAAGGGTTTCTCCGAAGTGTGACAATTGAACTTGACTGAAGCAACTATCCCTTCGCACCCCAAAACCAGAAATAACTATGTAATATAAACAGTGATTTCTTTATGAAGTATCCAACTAATACTGAATTAACGAAAGAATGTCCAAACAAAGCATGGCACTTCGTAGTGAATCGAAATCCTCTGTCCTTTTGCCATTGGCAAAAATATGAAAAGAAAAATAATTGTTGGATATAACTGGGCTTTTCTTCTGAAGCATGTTGCATAGTTATCACCTATCCATAGCCATCGAAAATACATTACATTAACAACTGAAGGAAGCCTGAGGCATTTTATGGTACAAAACATCATGAATGAGAATGATATCTGGAGTTCACAGATAAATTCTGCAATCACTCAAAACATGACAGATAGTTATCAGTATCTTAACTAACTTTCTATGAGAGCATTCATTTATTCAATTTTTGTGAAAGCAATCATAACTTAGTTTATTTGAAAGCAACATCATTTATAGTTTTATAATTGCATTCATATGAAAGAAGCATCATTTATAGGTTTATTTGTGCCTTCGTGATATGAAATATTCTCCAGAAATTAAGGTGCAAATGTAACTTCCATGCATCGAAGTTCGTGCCAAAAAATCCAAGAAGCTGGTTCATTGTTGATCAGTAGGATAAGGAAGTATGACACTGCACAGACTACATTGGACAAACAACTTGTCGGAGAGTTTCTGACTGGCAGTCCCTCAAATAAACATGATTCAGCTAGAGGCTCTTCTAAGTATCTTGCTTTGCACCTGAGGTTTGAAGTGGATATGATTGCCTACTTCTTGTATGATTTTGGAGGGAGGGAAAAGGAGAGAAGGGAACTCCAAGCCTACAGAGAAAGCCATTTCCCTATGCTTATGGAGCGCTTGAAACACTCCATGTACGTATGAATTGCTTCAACTTTATAATTTATATGCACTCTAAGAGATGATCTTAATATGGAATCTCTCTCTCTTTCATATCACTGATGTTTTCGGGCCTATCTCTTCATCGGAGTTGAGAAGCTTAGGGAGATGTCTGTTAACACCCGAAGAAGCTGCACCTATGCTTGCTGGTCTTGGATTCAAGAGTGGAACTTACATTTATCTTGCTAGTTCTCATATTTTTTGGGGGAAATTTAGGATGCATTCATTCACTAACCTCTATCCTAACTTAGTCACAAAGGAAACTCTGCTGACACGCAGTGAGCTTGCACCTTTTAGGAATTTCTCTTCGCGGGTAATCAACCATTCTTTGGGCATGTTCAACTTGAAAATAGTTGGCAAATTCCAGCATAAAGGTGCCCAGAATGCATGTGTAAAACATACTAGCATGTTCTCAGGTGCACAATTTTTTCTACCTTCTATTGTTTTGGAATTGATTTGCATCGGCCTAGAGTGACATCTGCAGGCATCACAATCAAGGCTTCGCTCTTCATTTGATGATCATGCCATCAGGAATGAAAATGGCAATGCTGATAGCCTGATGCATCATCCGTTTGTTTAATTGTTTATATAACAGTTGGTTGTATCTGTAAATTTTTTTCCTTTTGTTCTAATTCCTTTAATTCTTTCCATTTGTATATAAGACACATGCTCCATTCAATAATATCTTCCCACTAAATGTTCCTAATATTAATACTATGCAATGCTGATAGCCTGATGCATCATCCGTTCTTTCCTCCCTCCTTTTGCCACATGATTCAACCCCCCCCCCCCCACTGGTCCTCATGAGCCCAATACTTTTGAGAAAAAACGATCAACGCAAAGAACAAATGAAATGCCAGCAACTCTGCGAGCATGATCCCACGTGACTCGAACACTCTTTACTGTTCATGAATGCAGGTTTTCTAGCAACTGATAAGAGAAGGCAGTGGAGGAGTCCTTTCAAAACAAAATTTGGTTGATTGAATGTTAGAATAGAAATCCATCAGAGTGAAAAGTCTAGTTGTGAGATGTGAGAACATCGTGTGCTTGGGCTGGCGACTTTGTTTGACTTTTCTTGATCATTTTCTATATGGACTTGTGCTAGTCTCTACGATATACGTTGTGAGAGAAGCATGGTAAATGTTCCTCTTTTCAACTTAAACGCACCAGGAAGAGATTTTTTTTATTTAAACGCACCAGATTTTTTTTTACTTCTGGGGCAGAATATTGGAGTGGCAATTGAACTGGAATTCTTCAGAGATAAAAAGAGAGTTCTTCAGAGATTCGAATATTTAATTTCTCCAAAAATCACACCGTTAATTTGGTAATAAATTAGTTTTGTTGTAATAAACTGACCAACCCAAGTCATAACAAAATCAATGAAAATGAGAGAGGAGAAAGCAGGAAGGAGTCATTCCCTGCAAGCAAAACACATGGATCTTTTGTTTCACTCTTCTTAACTATAGTTGTAATACCCGGTCCCCACATATATTCCTGATCTGGAAATGATGTTTTTCCTCTATCATCTTTCTTTGGAATTGAAGTTAGTTCAAGATGGAGGGAAGAAACGATTAAGGTTGAAAGGAAGGGTGTAGAATTCTTCATTCCTGCTGTCCCCTTTGAATGTCCGAAACTTGACCCACCATGGCATTCCTCTATCTCTAGCACTGTCCTTGTAGTCAAGTGTGTTGTCTAAGAAAACAGCGACTATCAGTGCAACAGTTGGGGATGAGAAGAAGATAGTGTTGAGGAAATCGTTGAACTGCACATAAAAAAAAAACAAAATAATCAATTGCCCTGCGCAATTGTAAAGGAATGCAGCAATGAATAGACTGCGCACTATTAAGAACGCAGAATCATCAGCTTTAACTTGTCATGAAGAGTACACATTCCATATATTACTAGATCTGATGTGAGCCGTTTTCATAGTGGATGGTAGAAATTTACCCATCCAGCTCTGGTATGAGCAGGACCATGATAGGCCTTGGAAGTGTATTCTCTGAAGTATTCAGGGACAGACAAACCAAGAAAGAAGGCAACGCCAGTGATGAAAAGGTTTCTCATTGAGTTCATGTTTGTGAATTGCAAAAATGACAACCCCACGGAAGCTGCAAGCCAAAAATGTTGCAAATATCAGTTACAAGTGATAAGAACTTGGTAGAATCATGACGATCTCAAAAGAGAAGCAACCCATTACTCACCAACCAACCCAAACAACACGCAATAGACAGCACCAAAAATAGGGAAGGGTATTGATGCAAATAAAGCTCCAAATTTTCCTGCCAGAAGGTGGAAGATCAATTATACAGACGAGTTACTTTTTATAAATAAGCATATAATTGGCCGAATCTCTCACCTAAAATAGAGAAGAATATCATAAAACCAGCTGAGATTTGAATAACCCTGCGGCTTCCGACACGAGTGCTTCCAAGCAACCCGATGTTTTCTCTGTTGTTTTTCTTAAATATTAGTCCCGTTGCATAGAAATGAGAACTTCAAGAGAGACGAACCTATGCTACTTACACAGACACTGTCGAGCCAGTCAATGTTCCAAATAGTCCGTCCAATAAGATCCCAATGCCCTGCCAGCCAATACCACGGCTAAGAACATGAGCTGGAGGTGGGGTGGCACTTGCTAGGCGTGACGCAGCTTTGTATGCTCCAGTTGACTGTCAAAGAAGTCATTAGTCTTGCTTTCACTAACAGAGCAAGATTGACTAAGTTTGTACCATTACCTCAATCAATGATACAAAAACAGCAGCCATCATTCCGAAACAATGACCGGCATCAAAGGTGGGCGCACCCCATTGAAGAGGATATGGGATCTTTATCCTGAATTTGAAAAAAAAAAGAAAGACCTTTAGTATCAAAAACAGGTTGTAACAATAATCAGAATCACAGTAATCAGATTAATAATGTCAAGAAATTTTCTGAGTCTTTGAATAGTTTGTTCTCATATCAAATTGTTTTGAATCACATTTTGAAATTGGCATGCACTCGCATATGTTTTTTTTCCTATACATGCACATATCTAACTCTGTGGCAACAGGGATTCCAGACATGTAGAAACTTATTATATATCCTCCGGTGCAAATAAGAAATGTGAAAATATTTATAATCCAAACACAGAAAAAAGCGAGTTACCAACCATGGAGCAGAAGAAATGAGGTAGGCTTTATCAGTTCGACAGTTAATTTGGGTGATTTCTGGACGATGTTTGTATGCACCACTGGCTGTCAGGAGGTGTGCATATGCCCATATCACTGTGATTGATATAAGGAGAGCAAACCGCTCAAGTATTGGCAGTTGTTTTGTCTGGAAACCTTTCAAGTACTGCACCGTGTACAGCAAAATAAAACCACATAAAAATTAGAAAGACACCCTTTTTTTTCCAAATCATTGAACTAGTTCCTGGAAAAATGCAAAAGGTACTAAAATTTTCGTCTCTTTAATCTTAATATTGCATATACAGAACCAAGAGGGACTGAGTTTTAAATCCATATGATGTGTATTGTTCTGTGAAGTGAAAAAGTTCAAACTCTAACAGAAGTATTAAGGATTAGGTGTAAAACCTGGGAGCAGGTTATAAACAGTATAAGCATGGGGATGCCAATTTCTACACACCGTCCAGTCTGCAACAGATTCATCAAAAAAAGAAGCAACAGTCAGAAAAACGAAGATGTCGAACGGTGGCAATAAAATCCTGCAAAAAGAAAAAAATGCCAGTGAAATTGTCACTTTACCACAGGGAAGCCTCTATCAAACAGACCAAAACCTACTAATGCAATGACTGGAACCATTCCAATTGGACTGAAGAACCTGAAAGGAAAATAAGATCAATAAATCAGCAACATAACAAGTAATGCTAAAATTTGTTTTCATGATCAGTAATAGTACCTGGAACAAATGGCCCATAGCTGACTGTATCCTAGAATTATCTGTATACTTGATGACACTATCAGAGCACCTTGGACTGCTCTCATTGTGCTAAGAAATCTCTAGACAAATACAAAATACAATTCTTCCATTAGTTTTTGATCTGATTATAACATGACAAATCATCAAAACGAGTATTTGGAATAACTCAATTGTCAATCCAACACTTTGTTCATTTTTTCCCCTCCAAACTATTGTCAACACACACCAACACTTCATGGATTCCATTCATTCGCTCTATAATTACTAGTACTATCACATTAACAATTATATCACTTATTATTATTATTATTATTATTACATTTTGGATACAGAATTGAAGTCACCCGTTTTATTTGATTTGACTTGGATTCGGAGAATTTAGATACAGCACAGCCTTGTAAATAGTGAAGCCAATTAATGAGTGGGTCACACAAAGTTGACGAAAGGGACCTCTTGATCCTTCTGGGTTCTCACGATGGACTTTTAACTGTAAAGTGAAAGATTTTCTGCTATATTCAGAACTGTAAAAGAAGAAAAGAAAAACGAGACTAACCAAATGGTCATCAGGAATGCTTGTCAAAGATGGGTCATGAATTATTGACACAATGGGGACCATGAAGGCATAAGACCCTCCAATTACGGTCGGTAAACGCGTCCCAAACAGTGTTTGTAGAAGTGTGTTGATCCCTTCAACAAAAAGCAGAGTCTGCACCACCCTCACTTTATCACCCTGAAACACACCGTATCAGCCCAAAACGAAAACAAATAAATAGATAAATAAAGATCCTCTTTCACAGGTCTAATTGATCTACTTGAAGTTAAAAACAAATGGTAGGTTCTTTCAGGTCATATGCCCAATGTACCAATTTTTAAAGCAATGGATAAATAGAAATCGGAAGAAGGTGATAGTAAAAATCGACTCACATGATTACCACCCATCAAAGGAACAAGAAATGAAGGGATCATAACAGCAGTTCCTAAAGCCAAGATATAATGCTGAAAACCCAAAGCTATAGACTCTCCTGCTTCCACAAACACCAAGTTAGAAAAGAAGAGACTAAAACAAGCTAAAAAGACTTGATATTCAAAAAAAAAAACATACCCCAAGATGGGTTAGAATCGATACAGTACTCTAAGCCTTGAAGTTGGTCCATTGGAGGGTGACTTATCTCTTCTGGCTTTGGATCAGCTGCCATTGTTTATAATCCCCTCAAAACCACCCTTGTTTTTACTCCTTAAGCTCAAAACTCAAAAAGAGTATCCACTAAATGAATCAAAGAATCGATAGATAAGCTAGGGAGAAAGAAAGGAACACCCTCAAGTACTGATGATCTCAAGAGAGTCCTAGCCAGTTAAGAGCACAGGGAAACAAAGGAATGCAGTTTGATTCACTGGATGAGAATGAAAAAAGAAAGAAAGAAAGACAAAAGCAAAAAAGGGTTAAAGAGAGAGAGAGATGGAAAGGCAAGCAAGAAAGAAAGAAATAGAGAGAGTACAAATTGAGAGAGAGAGCTTGCACTTGCCGCGCACTAAACTTGCATTTCTTTCTCTCTACAGGGTTTATGCCTATCTATATTTATGTGTCTTTTTTTTCTTTTTCAGCAAAACCAATAGTTAACGTTAACTTTTTCGACATTCCCTAAACTGCCCTTCAAGTAACTCTCTCAAACTGAATATGACCGTTGCCTGACTGCCTCCCTGTTCCTCCTCCATAATAAATTTATTCAACTTCTTTAATAGCAGAGTAGCTGTAGACTGTAGTGCCTGCACATTTACTTATTACCATGCAATGAAGACATAAACACAAGCACGCAGCCTCCTCTGCCCACGTGTAACTGTAACTCAGAATGTTTCTATTTTTATTTTTTTTTACTTTATTATGCATGTAACAATTTATATCTTATATCATATCGTATAGTTTAATCTATTTTATATCAATTAAATATATAAATAGTATTTTTTTCAATACATGAAAAGTAAAGTTAAGAAATTATTAATAATAATGACAGTTTTGAAATCCAGCTTGACCCGACGGGTTGATTCAAGATCTGGTCGACCAGGAATAAGAATTGGGCTGGATTGAATAAAAAATAAAAAATAAAATTTAGTATGATTAGACAAGATCCGGTTAAGAACCGGTTGCAAACCCGTTGATTTTTTATTTTTTTATTTTTTATTATAATAATATTGTTTTTATTTTTTTTTAAAAAAAAATTAACCCAACTGATCTAATGATCCGATCAAAACTTCAAATCTATATCTTAGATCAAACGGGTACCAGATTAAGTCTTAAACCTGTGATATAATTCTCAACATGGTTAGTGTTAAGATAGAGAGGTAAAAAGCCAAACCTTTTTTAATTTTTCCTTAATTTTTGTTTTGGATATGATTAATTAAATATTAACATGGTTATATGGGAAAAAAGCAGGCATGGCCAGTGCCCATCTTATGTTTACTGAAAAGATCAGGGACTGCATGTGTATGCATGGCTTTATAGCTATATTTATAATGGAATCTAAAAGACAGCTTTTTCATAAGAGCATTGCATGTTTTCCTGCTTTATAGAATTTGTTTTATTGGGGGAAATAAAATGTATTTCAAGAAACAGAAATTAACTAGTTATTCCTCTACAGATACGAACAACAGCAGCAGTAATTTCAGCAAATGTCAATAGAAAGCAGATGCTTTGACGACCACATGTTTGACGGTTGTTGGGTGTTCTTATTTATGTGTTTTTGTCTAAAAATATTACAAAATTGGGGAAATTCTCTAGTAATGTCATTTTCTTTTCTTTTCCCAATTGCAGCGCCGAAATTCATGCTCTAACACCTCAAACGTTGCACCGTACAATTTGTAGAGCTGGTGTGCTTGTGAGGTTTTACCCTTTCTTTTTAATGTATTGTTATTAAAATTAAAAAAAAAATATTGTATTTTTAAATATTTTTTTATATAATAACTATCATAATCGCAAAGAAACATACTCATAATTATTTAAGAGTTGTTTTTTCATTTGGTTTTTTTCATAAATAGAGAATTGTTTTTTTCCATGCTGGTTTCTCTTTGGTTTTTTGCCACTAGCATCTATTAATAAATTCCTTGATTATTATTAATAAGTAAATAAATAAATATCACTCTCCACCCATTTTCATCATCTCCGTAATGTCAATTATAGGCAAAATCACACTAATCTAAACTGAATAATTTAATTCCAAATTTAGAAGGTTAATTAGTTGTATTAGTGAGATTCCACGTTTTTCTACAAGTATATGTTACTTATATTATTTTATGTTAACATAATGAGATTTTCTCATGTTAAAAAAAAAAAGATTGTTGGTACGTTGTTGAATTCTTTTTTTTTTTTCAGTGAGAATAAAAATAAAAATTCATAACTTAATCCTTGTTGTTTATGAAAACTAATTAATTGATTTCTATAGTATAAAAAACAATTAGATAGTCCCTTGACTAGTTTTAATCAGTTTCTTTTCTTTTCCTTTTCCTTTTAATTTTTATTAAAAAAATAAATAGCATAATATTTATTAATGAACTTAAGATATATTAAAGAATTTAAAAGTATAAAAATTGAACATGCAATTTTGAAGCCACGAGGACTAAATAATCCATTTTTCTAAACTATAGGGATGAAGTTGCAATAGCAAGAAAAATATCAAACAGTGGCCGCTAAAGGAGACTATTTCTGTCCACTTTTACCCGTGAGATAAAATATGAGAAAATCATTATTTATTTTTTCTCAAGATTTGTTTTCTTGTGGGGAATTCTTTCACATGAAACGGTTAAAAGTAGCGGTTTATAATAATAATAATAATAATAATAATAATAAATAGGGGCTGAGCAGGAGGACCCAACGTGCGAAGGAACAGAAACAGTGTACGAATCTCTAACGTCTCTATTTCCATGCAAAGACAAACAAATAGCTTAGATATCAGAGCTCGCCTTTATAGCTTCATTTTCACTTTTTCACTGCTCTCTGCCATTTCGCTTCAGCATGATATGATATGTTTGTCCAACTTACAAACAAAGAAATGTTTCCCTTTGCTTATAAAAAAAAATATTTATAAAATTTTTTAATTTTTAATTTTTTTAATTTTATATAGTTTCTACACTAATATTAAAAATAAATCTTAAAATATTTAAAAATAATTTAAAAAATAATTATTTAGTAAAAATTTATCTTTTCCATTGTCTAGCCTAACTTGAAGATAGCCCGATTACCAAAAATATTTTAAAAAAAATTTAAATTTTTTTATTTTTTTTACTTTAATTTAATATGTTATTGATGTTTTTAAATTATTTTGATGCACTAATATCAAAAATAATTTTTTAAAAATAAAAAATATTATTTAATATATTTATAAATAAAAAATATTTTAAAAAATAACCACAACTATACTCCTAAATAGTCTTAAAAAAATACAACGAAAGAAACAAAATCCATATTTGCATAACCAACAACTCTTTAACTAACTTAAAAAAAATTATTTATCCAATATTAACCTAGCTGTAAGTTTGGACTGATTTAGGTCAAACAAATATATTAACTAAATTTTTTTAATTATTTAAAAAAAAATTAGCTTAAAACTCAAACTAATTTAATTAATTTAGGTTAAAGATCATATATTTTTTATATCAATTCATTAACTCAGGTTTAATAAATCAAGGAAAATATATTTACAGGAGTCTCCTTCAAGTCTTTTGTAATTTTTATTAGAAGAGCATTATTATTTTAGAAGTGATTGAAAGAATATTTGTTATTGTTTTTTATTTAGAAATATATTAAAATAATTTTTTTATTTTTTAAATTTATTTTTAACATTAATAAATTAAAATAATTAAAAAATATCAAGGAAAAATTAATATAAAAAAATTAAAAAATATATTTTTTTTAAATTTAAACACAAAAACAAATAAAATATTCATTTTAATTAATCACTTCAGCAGCTAGTTTGCAGACTTTGTGTACGTTTTTGACAGTTTGAGCTCCATGTTTCACGCTAGACAATTGCAAGTAATGTTAGATTATTATTATTATTATAAATTGCTTGGTCGCAATTCTCGTCTCTGCAATGTGGTGTTTTGTTTTTTCACTGACATTTCCTTAATTGCCCCGCATCTTACATGGTCATCATTAGTCAAATAAAATTTGTACTATTTACCAATATGTTTCGAATTTGAATGGGAATGGACCGCCAATAACGAAAATTTCGTGTTACCAAATACCTACAACTTTTTTTTTTTTTTTGTATGAAGAAGAACATTGTGAAAAAGAAAAAAAAAAGATTTCACATTGATTGGATTGCTTACTTAGGAGTTTAAGATTACTTATATAATCTTTAATTCACGTCCATGTAAAAGGTAAGATAACCAATGTGTTTTTATCTATTAGTTTTGGATAACCAAGAAAAAAGATTTAGAATCAATTAATTACTACAAAAACTACTAGATTCTCTTAATTTTATGGGTTATGTATTTACTATGATGATAATATAATCAATTTCTAAAAAAATGTGACTATAAGGTATATTATCATTTAGTATATATATATATTGTTATAATTATTGATGGTGAGTAGTTCAGATTTGACAAGGAGATAAATATGTATGCATTTAAAAACTTAATTTGATACTCAATTTATATTCAACAAGTTATAATGAAATTGTCATTATTAAAGAAAAAGCAAAAGAAATATAAGAAAGATTTGTTGGAAATTTATTTTAAATAAATAAATTATAAGTGAATGAGAAATTAATCTAAAAGAAACATCAATTTTCTAAAAAACAAATCTCAGTATTTTTTAGATTTAATTCTAGATTTATGATGGCTAATTAATAATTGATAATGGTGAGAATTAATTCTTAACAATTCTTCAACCTTTTAACTTTTACAAAGAGAGAGTGAAGAAACTTGAATTTTTTAGTTTCTTTCACTCTTTTTTACCTCATTTTCAATGTTTTTTATTGTTTTTTATGTTTTGGTTTTCTTCTCAAATCTAGAGTTTAAATTCATATTGTCATGAGATATTTGAGTTTCGTATTCTATAATTCAAAAATATTATTTAAAAGTGCATCTAAATCAAGGTAGTGTTATTAAAATATTAAGAGACATATTGCAAACATCATAGTTTTCACAGGTGACAAGCTTTAAAGATAAATAATTTATCATTAACAACAATAAAAGTTTTATTACTTTAAAGTACTTTAACAAATAAACATTCTTTTTTATTTTAATTTAAACATATATATTTTTATTATTAATATGTATGCTAGTACTTTAAATTAATATCAATTATAAGTTTGGATATATGTTTAGTATGCATACTAAATTTATATTTATTGCCATAATACGTTTGTCGTGAATTATTATTTTGCTTATTTATAAATTTAAACTTTTTTGAACTCTAAGTTTTCCTTGAAAATATTATTATATTCAGTATATTTTATTATAATAAACTAAATATCTCTACTCACTAGTCTAATATATACATATTTAAAATTTCATATTAGCTATGGCTAGCATGCCCATTTATATGAG